CGTGTTTCCAAGTGCAACGACTAGGTTCCTGAGTCGTACCCTTTTGCCCTTTTTGTTTTGGGGTCTCCTTATTAAATCCGAATACTAGGAACAAGGGTACCCTTATTATTTAGGGGTCACTCAGGAACCTAAACGATGATAAAGACGATGACTTGAATGTCTCACTCCGCCGCGACTGCCCTGCACAAATCGCCACACCCAACCCAACCTGTAAAAATCTGGCATTTAGGGTGTAATGTAGGGGCCGTAAAAAATTAGAATAGGGCTTGGCGGGCATATCATACTGATCATTATGATAAGCAGCCCCCAAAGCGTTTTTCGAATTATGAATTAAGGCCCCTACATCATAGTATAGAATTATAGGACATGGTTAGGTGCCCCCCCAATCCGAGCACCAGAATGGAGAAGACCCAAGAATTTGTACGCACCAAGGAAGCCGACTGCATCAAGGAGCAGACCTTGACGCAGGCCAACGCCTTAGGCTTTAGGGTTTAGGGTTTGGAGTTTAGGGGTTTAGGGTTTAGGGTTTGGAGTTAGGGTTTAGGGGGTTTAGGGTTTAGAGTTTAGGGTTTAGGGTGGAGGGTTCACGGGTAACCATCCTGGACAGCAAAAGCCCCAGCCGTCCAAGGCCACGATGTATTACGGTTGATGATATAAATCCTGCACTACCCAGAATAAAGAATATACCAGAATTCCAATAGGTTAGGGTCCTTAGGGTAATGCAGGGTTTATATCATCAACAGTAGTATGGGTAGTTGGGAGGCCTGCTGGAAGTATGCGGTAGCCTATGAGAGCATGTTCGCAAAGCCGTGCAGCAATCCCAGACACTTGATGTCGTCCGTGGGTTTTGGTTGTCTGCATACACTATTTCCTGAAACTCTTGAAGCAGGAACCAAACAACTAAAGCCTAAAACGAAGCCTAGCTTTGCCGCCTTATTGCGGCCTGGCTGTGTGATGTCGCAGCCAGGCTCACGTGTGAAATCCGGAGCACTCAACAAAATCTACAAGCTGTTTCTGTGGCTTCGAACCTCAGACTGATTGAATTAAAACCCTGAGCCCTCAAGCCCTGAACCCCCAAGAAAACCCTCAAAATCCCAAGCCTGAGCCCGAAAACCCGGGGAGCCTGACTAAAGAAGCTTGTGACAGAGAGTGGTCACCACTCGAAGGGGCTCAAAAACCTTGGGCCCGAAGTGGCAGCAGGGGCTCAGTGGCTGAACTATTGGAGTTTAGGTTTCATTCAACCGTGGCCTTAAGTTTTGTGGTTTGACTCGGGTTTAGGGTTCAGATTTCGGTGATGCTTGTCCAGCCTGCCAGGTATTCGTCAACGAGCAGATGCTTGGCCTCAATTTAGCTGGCAGTGCTGCAGCTAATGAAGGGTCCTTAAAACAGGTTCCGGGGTCTCCTGGATGACGATGATCACATGGGGACTAGTATAGTAATATTGAAAATATACGGCAAACCCTGGTCTAATTATTATTATTTATTATTATTATGATTATTACTGTTATACGGGGGAATCCCAAAGAATTTTAACTATGATATCCTTATATAGGTCCTCAAAAAGGTAGGTTCTTTAGGGTCTAGGTATATCATGCCATCACTCCAGACCTTCAAAAGCACCCGAGGCTCCACCTAATATAGGGGCCTTAATAATTGGAATAGGGTTTGGGGTATACTATACCATAATTGGAATAAGGAGCCCCCCAAAGCCCTGTTCTAATTATTAAGGCCCCTACATTAACCCTACAGCTCCACGAATTCGAAGGGCCCCGGTAGATGATGAATTCCAGATATCCGGCCATGAACAAACTCGAGGTTCGGATGTTGAGATTTGCCCGACACCGGTAGCCCGATTTTGAACCTTAGAGCTTACAAACCCTAAACCTTCGACCTGAGCCCTTTGGGTAGTTCCCTTTTACGTGCCCAATATAGCACGGCACCCCTATAAACAAGTATCCCAAAAGACCGTATTTTAGAGAACTACCCATAGATTCCTATAAGCATTTCCCTTTTGGGTGTCCTTCAAACTTTGGAATGTATCGTTCTCATGTAGGGTTTGAATCTCGGCTTTGCATTCGAGGTTGCAGTATAGAGCAATTACGCTCAGAAATCTGAAAATCATATTTTGAGACACAACTGCCGGGTTGAAGTTGCTCCGTCGCGCAAATCTCAACCCAACTGTCAGAGAACCCCTTGTCCCTCACAGTAAAGCCTGCACTCCGAAACCCTGAACCCTACAGCCTAAATCAAATCCTACAGCCCCTAAGTAGTCCCTTGAGCCATAGGTTAAGTGTTCAGGGTTTAAGGTTTAGGGTTTAGCGGACCCAGTAGACGCCAAATATTCATCCCGTGAGGACCTTGAAGAAGATAGAAGCCTGGTACCCTTCCCTGCTTGCGCCGCCGCTGATCCTGGATATCGACGAGGACGTCTTCCCTCGAACGGAGCCGCTTGGGCCCTAAACCCTAAACCCTCTAAACCCCAAACCCCCAAACCCTCTACCCTCAAAACCCTAAACTCTAAACCTTGGGCTCGTGGTTTAAAGTTTAAGCTTTCCAGGCGGTTATAAGTTTCCTGCTAGTGTTCGAAACAATGAAAGGTGCCCTACTTATAACTTCTAAGTACCCATGAACCTCCGAGTGGGGCCCGGGCCCTAGGGGCGTTTAAGTTTAGGGTTCAGGGTGAGCTTCTCCGAAGAGGACCCTCAGTTAGGGTTTAGGGTAGCTGTTGCTAATGTGGTGATTGTAAGGGTCCCTCATGTCTTCAACTGTTGTAGACCGTACGATGCCCTTCAATTTCGGTGTGCATGACACTGTCTCAACTCGCGAATATTTTGCGCCTACATACCTGCAGACATGATCTAGCGAAACAGTACAGTGCTAAACATACTCATATATACATGCATATGTACATACATACGTACATACATACATACCGACGGACGGACGGACGGACACACGCACATTCCAACCTACCTACAAGCCTGCCTACCTACCTACCTACCTGCCTACCTGCCTACCTGCCTACGGACCTACCTACCCACCTACCTACTTACCTACCTACCTACCAACCGACCTATCTACCTACCTATCTACCTATCCACCTATCTACCAATCTTCCAATCTACCTACCTACGTACATAAACAAACCACCCACACACACATATTGCTGTGCTCTTACTTGTGCTTCTCGCTTCAGGGCTTTCGGATTGAAGAAATTCAACTGCCTGGAAGTCATACTCGCGCAGCGGTTCATGAACATGGCGGACTTTGGAGGGATCGGGGTTTTTCAAGCTAGCTCGTGCGTTTGCGGTGAAATCATGTAGAAGGTTTGCTGGTGCAGTCACACATGGGAGCTCCAAAGACTAATGTTCTGCAACCTCCCCCCCATATCCGAGTCCCCTAAACCCTAAACCCTAAATCCCCTAAACCCTAAACCCTAAACCCTGAATCCCCTAAACCCTAAACCCTTAATCTTATGGAAGAAAGGCCCACCTTCGTAGGGATGGAAAATGAAAATGGAGGATCATCGTTGCCTCGGGATCTGCAGGCGAGCATTAGGTTGTGCCGTGTTGAGGGTTTAGGGCTTAGGGGATTTAGGGTTTAAGGTCTAGGGTTTAGGGGATTTAGGGTTTAGGGTTTAGGGGATTTAGGGCTTAGGGGATTTAGGGTTTAGGGTTTAGGGGATTTAGGGTTGGTTGGGAGGACCACTTTGGCCAGAAAGCTTCTGCGAGTCTGCTACACGACATGAAGAGGAGGTGTCTCGGCAGTGATTCACCTGAATCTTTGCGATTGTGCCCGTCTTGGATACGCAGGTTAATTCATGGCTCGGGTGATTTAGCAACTCCAGTTAGCCAAACCACGCACCACAAATCCAGGGTCTCTGTGGGTTTGTGTGTGTGTGTGTGTGAAACTCTTCAGTTAGGTCTACTGGAGAGCACGGTCGCACATTGGCTCGGAGCCGGGCAATTGCGACAGAACAGCCAGTGAAACAGCCACATGTATGTCTGTGTATACATAATCATGATCATGGAATGAATAGCACCACTAGCAGTCACTAGCAATGATCAAGAGAGCTTGGGTAAGGTATGGTCACCGGCAGGCACAGTACACTTGAGCAAAATGGACCATCGCATGTCGAGATGGGCATTCTGACCTATGCCTGTGTACGTATCTTGGGTTGTTCACTTGTTCAGCTTAATTTCTGCAGGAGCATATGTGCATCTAGCTGAATCTAGCCGCGCGCACGGGCTACAGTCTTGTGTTGCATGTTTAGGCTTATCTGGCATCCTTCCGCTAACGACATGTTGCACCGCAATGTCGTCAGCACAGGACGGCGTCGATTGAAATCACAAATATAGTTAGTAATCGCCTCGCACGTGCAGCAAACGGGAAGAAGATGTGGCACACCAGAGGAGCATACCATGAACGGTTTCATAGTGTGTTCCACACGTTTTTTGGATTAGGTATTGTTGCTTCAAACCTTGGGGCTTTGGTCAAGATTTACGAGTTTTATTTCCGACAACATAACGCCAAGTATGTCACATGACTCCAGAAACTCTAGCAATGGCTCTACACTCTCGGGATAGAGGCGGGGTTTAGGTTTAGGCTTGCGGGTTTAGGGTTGACCAGAGCCAGATTCAAACAGCACCGTCGGCGCACCCCCGACACTGTGCACATGGATATCGGCGACACCATCCCGCACGAATGATATGCAAACACACCTAAGCCCTACACCCTAAGCCCTCCTCATCATAAGCTGCGTTGAATCCTGAACTGTGGCTTGTCTCGTGCTCTATGTGTGCATACGCCTTGTGTCTGTGTGTGTGTGTGTAAGTAGATTCACACTGGCATGTGTATGTAAAGGGGCAACATTAAAAAGGACACATTAAGAAGGCACGTGTATGTTTACAAACAGATAAAAGTTCGTGAGTCGCTTGTTTCTCCATGGATAAAGCCTGAATCTTCTTCCTCGAGCATCTGAACAACCCAGAACCTCTACATGCGAATCCCCGGCCCGGAATCCGGATACCCTCAACAACAAACCCTAAACCCAAACCCTAACGGACGCACCGATCCATGCGCAGACTTCGAGACCCTCTAAGAGATCTCTCTTGCCTGTTGCGTCCCAGCTGCAGGATTTATCATTGAGGGTACGTATAGGCTTCGGCTTTGGTAAGGGTTTCGGGGTTCAGCGAAGGGTGAAAATTTGGGGTTAGCGTTTGCAGTTTAGGTTAGGGTTCAGGTCACAGGTTCAGGGATTTGGGTAGTATGTATATGTATATGTATGTATATGTATATATATATATAGATAGATCCAACCTTGATGGAACCAGCGAGTGTTTTATTGTTGACGAAGCCTGGGCGTGAGGCTTTCGGAAAGTCAGGAGCTTCGGTTAGCTCGGGCGTGATGGGTTTAGGGACGTGCGAAGTGATTTGTTGCGAGTTCAGGAGATTTGCGGTATATGCTGCATTGTTGTGTCGGTTTAGGGTGTTTTGGATTTAGGGACAAAACACTTTCAAGAGAGCCGAACGATGTTACTCCCTCCTTATGGTTGTGAAACCCGTAGCAAACTGGGTCCTGCCCGGTAGTCTTTCTTTACCATGTCAGTGTGTTTTGGGAGGTGCACCCTTGATAAAACTGCATAATAAGGGAAAGGGCACCAGTTTTCGTACGGGGACGCATCAGCACCCTTATAAACGTTCGGAAGACCGCAAGCCCTATAGCCTAAACCCCTAAACCCCAAACCCTATATCCCAAACCGTGGATGAGATGGACCTCTGCTAACGAGGAACGTCAGCGAAGTCCATGTCTCCTGTCTGGGAATAGCATAAGGTTGTTCATGGTTCTTCATTATTTAGGGCATTTTTGGAGTTGGGGGCCGTTTAGGGTCTGTAGGTTGGGGGTTACGTAGTGACGGTTCGAGTCAAGATTCGGAGTTTAGTGACAGCAATTGCTCCCATATCACTGCTCGGTTTTCCGATATACCTTTGTCTTGGGCTGAGGCTTCAAGATTCAGGGTTGACCGTTCGCGGCTCTGCTTTCGGAGTGGGACCGCCCCCAACGCATGAACCAGTACCCTGAACTGCCTGAACTCTTCTGTGAATTGGACATCGGTTGGTCAAGCTGCCATCATCTTGGGCCATGTTTCCCAATAGTACTTTTTTGTTCTTCAAGGTTCCCGGTCTAAAACTTAAAAGTAGGAAAAAAGGTACCCATATTATTAAGGGGCTTATGGGCAACCTAGTGGCAATAAAGGCAATCAACAAACCAAGGGGATTTACACTTGAAAGTGCGGCTCTACAGACTTTATGTAGGGGTGTCCTGCGGTCTTTTGGAGGGCACTCGTTCTTTAAACCAGGGTCCTGTATTGGAACCCGCAGAGAATGCATTACTCGTAGCAGGACTCGCCGTATCCACCTGAATTTAGCGAGAGCTCACCCACATGACCTCTTATGCACTGTCGTTCCTTTCTTTGGAGACATGCAACTTGGCCACGGGACGTTGATTGTGTGGTTTCGGGTTTAGGACTTCGGATTCAAGCTTAGGCGATTTAAGTTGATGAAATCCGTCCCAAGCTACGGATTACTATCTACGACATTTATATACCTTATAGAAGCCTTATAGAAGCCCTATATACCCTAAACTCCCCACCTGTAGTCTCCTTTAATACTAGCATGAGGACATGTAGGTCTGAGGAGCTCAGACTTGGATGTGACATACGTGAACGCATTTGGCTCAAGGAACCGAAACTTCATCTTGCATGTCTTTCCGTTTAGGGTTTAGGGTTTAGGGCCTTTAAGTGTATCTGTCGTACTGAGCTATTTAGTCTCAAGCCTCGTGAACTCATAGCTGCTGCCACCGCTGTGTCGCATCATCGAATGCTCACAGGGAACGACTGAATGAAGCCGGTACGGTTTTGCAATTTCCTGACTTTGCACAACACCTCCAGCCTTAAAGCCCTAAAGCCCTAAACACAAATCCTTAACTAACCCTAAAAGCAACTGAGCGAGGTCAATTACTGGATGCGGCGGTATGTCCTCGCCTGTCTGGCTCACCTGGGTGAAGATGCACCGGATCCCCCTCAGGCCGAAATAGGCACAATAGTAATCCCTAATATAGAAACCCTACATCCTACCATCTAGGTACTTAGGATCCTTTGGAGTAGGGATGTTTAGGGTTCCGGGCGTCGGGTCTCATTTCACGCAGGAGTTTCAGAGACTCCTGGCTCGCTTTCGGGAATATATAAATGTCTGATGGTCTTCCTTATTCTTCACAAAGGGTCTCGCAATTAAGGGTGCCTAAACCCTAAATCCTAAAAAACCCTAACGCCCTAAAGCCCTCAACCCTAGGCCCTATGAGCCTATGAGCCCTTCAAGGGGTCCATATATGAAGGAAGATATGTGGCTTAGGATTCGGGGAGCTTGTTGCGGCTTCAATCTTGAACATGACAGTGACCAAGCCGGAAATTTCTATCTGAACTACCGACCCAGCTATTGACCCTGCTTTCTGCGCGCTAGAAATCTAAACTCCCCGGCTGTTCAATATCAGATGATAGAGTAGCAACGACGGGAGTGTACAGGAGCAGAACTACTTGCAACAACCGTACGTCATAGTGAGAGTAGGAACGAGTGCTGCACGCGTTGTTCACATTGTAACGACGGAGACAGCCCAGCAATCACAGCAACAAACTTGATACTGACAGCTGCAAGGCTGAACCCAGCAAAGCCACACACACGCTGTGTCGCATCAGCATCTCTTTGTGGGGTTGCTTATCATCAGGAGTTTCTGACTGACAATCGGGAACTTTCATGGTTGTGGGTGGCCGGCTAAATCTGAAGCGCAAATCCTTTAGCCCCGATGTCCTGATTCCTACAAGTCTGCCGTTAAGCCGACAGGAGCTTTTGAAGCTGTGCCCATCCAGCAGCCTCGCCCAAGTCGGGGAGGCAGTTTCAGAGACTTGCAGTCCTTACGTATTAATCATATATATATATATGTATATATGTATATATGTATATATGACATACACATAGTCGCTTATATAGTGTGTATCTGTATCTGCAAGAACATACATATGTATATATATATATATACACATGAACGGTTTAATTTATGCATACACTGCACCATCAAGTATAGTACCCGCCCCCCCCCCCACCATCCACCCTTTCCTTCAACTTATCGTGGCCCCTTCCGAATTGGATTCGATGGTTTAACAATGTCGGCTCCGGCCAGTACAGCATTCGGCATAGCCCCGGACAACTGATAGTTCCAGTCACCCTTATTCCGAAAACCCCTTGTCTTAATACAGGGGCCTGAAAATTTACCCATACCATTTTAAGGGTGCCTTCTCACACCTTTTTCTAATTATTAAGGCCCCTATATTCCTGCAGGGCTGCAGCTGCCCACAGAGTTGGTTAGTAACCACCCATTATGCAACCCCTAAGCCCTAAACCCAAAGGACTAACCCGAAACCCTGTGCCCCGAACCTTAAGGCTCTGAGCCCCTGAAGCATAAAGCCTCAGTCTCGGAGGACTCGTAGGGCCTCTTTTCAGCTTTTTGTGCTTAGGGCTTATAGGGTTTGGTTTATAGAGTTTAGGACTTTGAGAGTAGTGTTTTGGCGTTTAAGGTTTGCGAGGACAGGGCGGAGAACACAAATCTGCGAGACTTCCCGGTGCAGTGGCCGTTGATCACTAGAATTAAATTAGAATAAATCTGAACTGAACCGTGCCCTCATGTGAGTTTGAGTGCAGGGGTGCGGCTCACAGGTGCTTTGGGTTCTTTTAGAGTCTCGATTGGGGGTTCGTTCAAGGTTTCGTTTAGGGTTCCTTTTAGGTTTCCGCTTTGGGTTCCGTGTAAGATTCGCTTACGGTTAGTTTAGGGTTTCGAATTGTGTTCTTTCTTAATGGTACCCTAAACCCTAAACCCAAGACTCTAAACCCCCTTAATCCCTAAACCCTTTAACCCCTAAAGCCCCTAACCCCTAAACCCCTTAACCCCTAAACCCAAGACTCTAAACCCCCTTAACCCCTAAACCCTATCACCCCCTAATCCCCCTAAAGCCCCTAAAGCCCTTCAACCCTTCGGCATTCTCAATCCTGAGTCTGTCAGGGTTTGGCCGACCTACGTCCCCTGGAGCTCCAGCTACTGCCGCCAGGGATGCACACCAGGGGGCGTCCCAATGCCTTTACCTCACTGAAAGAGCCCTAAGCGGCTATGTGCGCTTAGGGTTCTATCTCACTTTAAAAGCCCGATGCAGTTATGGAAACTATAGGTACCCACACCGTCAGAAATAGACACACCCATCTTGAAAATATGTAGGAACTTAAGACCCTTCATCTCATGATCAGGGTTTTGGGTTCAGGATTCTACGATAGGCTGAGACCCTACCGGAAGCACACCGAGATTCCCGAATTTATGGGTACCTACCCTGAGCCCATTTAGGGTCTTGGGTTAAGGGTCCCAGGCCCTAAACTCTAAATCCTAGACCCTAGACCCTAAGCCCTAAATCCTAGACCCTAAACCCTAAACCCTAAATGAAGGGAGGGTGGGGAAACCCAAAACCGTTGCTCTTGCCCGCATGGCTCCTGACGAACTGGACCTAAACCTTTGCGAGACGCAAGCTCATGGGTGTCTGGGTCCTAAACCCTAAACCCTAAACAAACCCAAAACCCTAAACCTGCGCTTCATTTTAGGGGTTTTGCGGGCTAAACCAGGAAAGGCCCGGTGTGGAATTGCCAAAACCCTTTGAAGAACTTCGGTTTAGGGTTTAGGGTTTAATTAGGGCTTGGGGGGTTAATAGTTAATACGGTTTATAGCGTGTTTAACTTTTGAAGGTTCGGGTTCAGGGTTTAGGGATTACAGGATTCAGGGTTCGGTGAACACTGTGTTGAGCAGGGCTTTAACCTCCCGGGTTCTACCACTGCGGCTTTGGGATTAAACTCTTGACCGTGACACAAAAGAGTCTAAACCCCGAATCCGTCAGCAATCAATAAATGTATACACCTTATTTTTTGGAAAAGCATGTTTAGTTTTGGTTTCTTGTCAGATGAGGCTACTGTATGGCTTCTGCTTCACCACTTCGCCGCGGTCGGTGTGGAGCAATCGGGACGACCGAAGGCCCGCAAAGAATGGTGCAGTTCAAGGAATACTTCCGAATGGACTTTGGGAGCTTTCGCTCCCGGGTCTCACAGTTGACGGTTGCATATGGCGCGGAATGGCAGCTTGCATGCTTTCACATTCCGGATACGCTTGCCTACGTTGCGTCTGCGAGTCAATGCAATGTGCTCAGGAGAAGGCAGAGTGTTGAAACATAAATTCTCAGCATGGACTGTAATGCAATCTTACCATGCATACAAAGCTTCCGAAACGAGTTTCTGAACATTGGTGAGATTTCGAGAGATGACATGTCTCCAGGCATCATAAGCCCTGACATGCTAAGGTACCTTCGCGTGTGTGATACCGGCGCGGAAGGCGTGGCTGAGGATACAGACAGGACGCTTGAGGGCTACGGATCAATCCGGTCGTGGATGGAGCTTCTGGCATCTCCACCGGTGCGTGCCGCAGCCTAGCGCAAGCGCATCAAGTCGTAACTTTAACGAGTATGTCCATGTGTATGTGTGTATGTATTTATGTATGCATGTAACTATGTATGTATGTATGTATTCATGTATGTATGTATGTATGTATGTATGTATGTATGCATGTATGGGTGGATGGCATGTATGCATGTATGGACGTATGCATGCATGCATGCATGCATGCATGCATGCATGCATGTATATGTATGTATTTATGTATGTATGTATGTATGTATGTATGAAGCATGTAGGTAGGTAGGCAGGCAGGTAGGCACACAGGTAGATAGATAGGTAGCTAGGTAGTTTGGTAGGTGGGTAAGGTAGCAAGTAAGTAAGTAAGTAAGTAAGTAGGTAGGTAGGCAGGTAGGTAGGTCTGTCGATCGGTCGGTCGGTCGGTCCGTCGGTCGGTCGGTCGGTCCGTCGGTAGGTCGCTAGGTAGGTAGCTAGGTGAGTAGGTAGGTAGGTAGGCAGGTAGGTCGGTAGGTAGGTAGGTAGGTAGGTAGGTAGGCAGGTAGGTAGGTACGTAGGTAGGTACGTAGGTAGATACGTAGGTAGACAGGTGGGTTATGTATGAATGTACGTGTATTATATGTAGATGCAGAAACGTGTGTGTATATATATATATAGATATAGAATATAATTGATATTATATATGTATACATATATATATATATGTACACATGTGGATATGCGTATAGATGTATGTGTGTGTGTGCGTGTGAGTATGGGCATGGGTATGCGTATGGCTATGTGTATTGTATGTGTATGTGTATGTGCATGTGCATGTGCATGTGCATGTGCATGTGCATGTGCATGTATGTATGTATGTATGTATGTATGTATGTAGGTATGTATGTATGTACGTTTATACATTTACCTTCATTTTCATCTGCACATACGTGCAAGATAAAGAGGTCGCGAGCGGCGCTCATATCCCTTCATTTGGAGGTTATGCCAGCGGCCCTGGCGGTATCAATGGTGCACACAGCGCCAGTCCGCATGAAATGGGATTGGGCGGCCACGAAGCTGCGGGCCCGGACGCTACTCGTGGTTATGACGTCCAGGCAAGTCCCCGTATGATTCGGTATCAAGTAGTGGCAGAATGCAGAGGATCTTCGTAATGTAGTCGTAGAGTCATATTCTTTGCAACAGTATGCGCAGAACCGCTGCAAGCCAGGTATGCGTTCTCAAGTCAAACTCCATGGCGACTTGTGTCGACCCGGCAGGAATATGGAAAGATTTGGCAGGCGCTGGCACAGGAGACCGGGGTCAGATCCGAACGTGCATAGTTGTTCCTTTTTGTGAGTGATGGAATTCGACCGGTGGCCGCATGCCATGCTGTAGGCAGCCTGAGCAACCCGGCACCTTACGGCCGTGCTCAAGCCTTGATGATTTAATTATGGATTGGCTGGAGTCTGAAGGGAACTTTAATCTACTTTAATCTGCAGGAGAAGCAGTGGCCCAGTGTGCAGCGATTCTCTGTCATCGGACCATCTGGCTGGGATCCCTGGCCTCAGCAGTACGCTGTCTGCCCCCCTCGCTGCTTAACGTGTTGATGAGGCGCCGAGTTCTTGGAGACAGTGAAGGGTGTGGTGTCTAGCACCACGGGCGAGGAACCGGAGAAGGCCACCTGGGTGATGGTTCTCGTGATGCACGGCCAGTCTCTGCATGCCAGATCGAAGTGGTGGCGAAGACGCGCTTTCAATCTGTTCGCCCGGAGCTCAGGATCTGGTGAGCAGGAAGGCACTCCTGGCAATAGCAGCGCCAGACCGAGGTTTGGATGTGCGGTGTGCGTCGCCTGACGATTTCTGTTTGCTCCACAGCCGGCTGAAGAGCATACCGAAAGCCAGGTTCCTGTTATAAGGCTCGCTGGTCCTCGGCTGCCTCGGCGTCCTGTCAGCTAATGATCAACGCTTCGCGAGCTTTGTGAAGAGCGATGACATATTCTCTGTCCTGCTAAACACTTTCGATTCGATGCCAACCTTTCCGCAGAGTGCCTACCAAAAAGCAGTCGCAATGTCATCTATATATATATGTATATACATATATATGTATGTTCAGCCAGAGCTGCCATTTGAAGGCACAAGCTCGCGAAGCCTTCAGTTTTCAGACGAGACGTGCCTCTGCCTTTGTCAGAAGGCCTCTCTTGTTCACCACTAGGGCTAGGTATGTTCAAACTCTTCGCGTGGCATCAAAGTGGGTGGGGGTGAGGGCGAAGCCTTGGTTGTGCCCTGGGCCTTAGGCAAGAACTCTGCTGAAGCTGGACAACGTCAGTGTCCTCTGCGTGCAGTTTCGCCTTAGATGCGCAAGAATTCAAGCAATTCTCGTTCACCCTTTGCTCTCTTTGGGGAAGATGAAGGGTGAGCAACACACAGCAGAGGCCCGACAGGGTTTGCTTCTGTGAATCTGTGAACAACGCTAACTATGCTAGTTAATCGACACCAGGAGCTTTCAAGAGAAAAGGAACAGAAACTCCTTTCGGAGCCCTCCAGCCGAAAGAATCGAAGAGAGCACCTGCAGGCCGTGCTTGCGATGAAAGGGCAAGTAGACTCCATAAGTTCGATTGTTACTGCTCTTCAACCCGGAGCTCTGACCCCCTGCAGCTCTTTCCGCGGCACCACCTCGGCTCCAGGGAAGTCCCATAGGGAAGCACCTGGGCCGCCGAGACAGGAGCAAAGGCCCGCGGTGTGCAGAGCATCCGAGGACAAAGGTAACATGGTGTTTTCTAAGTTTCCGAGTCATGAGCAACTGGTGAAGTAACTGCAGTATCGCGATGAATTCCGGCAATGACTAGAATGCCTTGCCAGACATATTTGGAAGAGCTCATGTCTATTGGCAAACGGCATCGACTTCACATACTTGGGCCTCGAACTAAACTGTTTCTAAACCCGGCGGGTGCAGTAGAACTTCTGATTCTCATTGTGAGTGCACCTGTTCATGCTGTGGGATGGCAAGAAGGAGGGTCCCGAGCCTGCGAGGTATCCGAGATGTCGCTGGCGGTGAAGGCCGGCACGGCCAAGTCCGGAGCTCAAAGAATGCCAGCACAGGTCTCGAAACACTGCGATGACAAAGAGCCCACGACCGCGAGAACCCACCGGGACCACCACGACCAGCCCTACGACGACGACCACGACATCCAAGAGACCACCGCGACACCACCATGAGACGGCCAAACTGCTTTCCCCCAAGTACTTCATTTCCGGATTCCGGATCATGCAGAGACAAGGCTTTCCCTCAGTACTGGTGCATTTCAGGAACATGGCACCCAAGCTTCCCACTTTGACGCCAAGCAGTCTTCCATAAAGTGAAGGTTACAATGGATCCAGCCTCGGTCCACCACCGCGATCCTGCGCAAATAATGGAGAGCAAGAACCAAATATGCAGCGCCTCACGGCGGAAGCCGCGCGTCGGGCAACGCGTGCGTTTGCGCTAGCGCAAGCTGGCCAACTCTCTTTACTCCGAAAGCAGGAACCACATAACGTTGCCACAATGTGTGGGGAATTTGGTAGGCGCTCTCAGAATATTTCAGAGAGGCGAGAAGAAATCATAGCTGGATCTGAGGCCGGGCCTACAGAGGCTTGGACAGGTCCGTGCCCCGCCCAAGCCCCAGCCCAGCTCACGCTTCAGTTCCCTCGCTTGCGGGTCATGGCCATGCCCAGGTCTGGACGCTTGGGGCCTAGCGCTTCAGGTCATAGGCAGATCAGGAGATGCCGCAGAGCTTTGAGCCTCTGAGCGCCCAAGTGCCGACTTGCCGCTTGCCCAGACTTTGTGCCCGAGAGTCACCTGAACGAACTGGCAAGGCCAGACTGGGACTAGGAAGGCTTCTGGAGTTGGGGATCTGCAGTTTTCAACACTGAAGACTGCATGAGCCCTGAGTCTTGCCCGCGGTGATAATCTGTATCCTGTCTGAAGTGCTATTGCTAGACTGCCCAGCAATTCAAGAATTTGCGTTCTCTCCATGATATGCGACACTGCATATGGTGTCTGTCGCCGTGGGCAGGATGCTGGACAGCACCTCCGCCGTTAGTGGCTTCCGTGTAAGGCCTTCACGTGCAACGCGATGCATTGACACTTCCTGGCTCAGAGTCCTTGCCAGGCGGATTGGCATCAACGATTCCGTATGGCTTGTCACGTGCCCTGCCAACCCGGAGGGCTGGATGATCAAGAAGGCCACATCGAAGTTGCTAGCCCCTGCCCAGTGCCCAGTTCGCGCATATCTTCGCAGCCTTGCTTGTCTTTCTGCAGGTCCCAGCGCGCCGGCGATACTCGGGCGTGCCGACGGACGTAGAAAACTGTGATGCGCCACACCACTCAGTTCCTACAGTCTCGATTGCAGTTGTGTATGAAGTCACCGAAGCAGCTGAGTGGACCCAGCAGCGTGCGTCGGAGTACCTCGAGGTTGATCCGCAAATTCCCGGGCATTGTCGAAGATCAGAGGCCGATGGGCCTTCTGCTGCTTCAGAGCATGTCCTAGCGACAACTGATGGTCGGGTGTTGGGAGTGAAGGTCGGAAACAGCTCTCAGCCATTAGCGCCAGGTTGGCCTTTCCCCACAGCGTGGTGGCGATCCACTCGCTGTCTGCTCCGTGGAGCAGTCAGGCTGCCCAAGGGCCCATCTGTAAAAGTTATGAAAGGTGTTGGACAAGACTCGCACGCTACATGCATCTGAATGTATCGCGGCAGCAAATTTAGGATGTCCATTCTTGGTTTGATCACATTGCTTCCGCTCAGTCTGGTGTCCCATCCTCCCAGCACAACGTGTCAATGTGGAGCCAGAATCAAGTCAGCTAACTGCTAGCCAGCATCATCCCGCTCATCCCTGGCCAGGCCAGCGACCATGCCTCGGACTGAGCTGACAAAGCTATAGAGAGCAGTGAACCATGTCGTGTTGTTTATGTCACCCCCTAATTACCCATTCAGTTTGCAAAGCATGCGCTTCGAGCAGAGCTTCAGGTTGCAGACCTTCTGGTGTCGCGAAGAGTTCCCGGAGACCAGCTAGGCCCGGGCCCTGAGGACACACGATCGAAGTAGAATTGAAACGGCTCCATGCACTGAGCTCCAGTGATGGCGAAGTGTCCCATTCAAGGTGTGTACCTGGCAGAGCTGGACTTAACGAAGTCCCAGGACCAAACCGCTCTCGAGGAGGTCTGTGCAGGCTCAGCTCGGCCAGAGATGGTACAGCCGTTTTCATCATCATCATAACCGTCATCCTCCTCCTCCTCCTCCTCCCCCTCATCATCATCCTCATCATAATACTGCGCAATCCGGGCACGCAAACATAGATGTAGCAAAATACTAAAAACGCAGGGTCGAGTTATAGCGCTAAACCGAATAATAATAATGATAATAATAATAGTAATAATAATAATAAGAATACTACTACATAAATATAGATAATAATAATGAATAATCATAATAATAATATTAATAATAATATTAATAATAATAATAATAATTGTAATTGTAATTGTAATAATAATAACAACAAATAATAAATAATAACAAATAAAAAGAAAAGATAAATAACAATAATAATAATAAGAGTAATAAACAAATAAATTATAATAAACAACTAAATAATAATAAATAAAAATAAATAATAAATAATAAATAATAATAATAATAAATAAATAAGAAATAAATAATAAATAATAAATAATAAATAATAATAATAACACTAGTAATAGTAATAGTAATATGAATAATAATACTAACAACAATAATAATAATCGCTATCATCATCGTCATCATCATCAACATCATCACCATCATCATCATCATCACCATCATGATCTCATCATCCTCATCGTCATCTCATCGTCCTCATCGTCATCGTCAACACCATCATCATCATCATCGTCATCATCATCATCATCATCGTAATGCCCTGCCCCTCATCATCGTCGTCGTCATCATCATCATCATCATCATCTGTCGAAGATATCCTGCTCCATTGTGGCGGCATTTTTTTCGCATCGTCTGCATTCAGCAGCAGTGAATTGGCAATAAGAGCCTCCGGCTCAAGCCGCCGACCGGCGGTCGGGGTGGGAGGGGTTGTTTTTGGGTTTGGCCCGAGCGGCAGAACGATTTTCAGATGGGTGGGGCCTAGGTGGGAAGTGAGATGTTTGTTCGTGTGTTTGAGCGTTGGCACGCGCTGCCTTGCGTTTTTCAAGTTGAATGGGTGAACGGGAAGGGTGGTGGGCAAGGAGGCTCAGGGGGTTCACATTGCACCCCCCTTGCGCATTTGGGGTGAGGACGAGAGGCCACGGTCAGCAGATGCCTGATTGGAAATCTTGCAGAGGGCCGCAGAGAATAACCTGCTTCCACCTTGCCTTAGGGGCCGCTTTGGCCATCTTGACATTGTTGGGAAATGGTCTCAACAGACTGATAGTCGTATCTTGTGAGTGCGATCAGAGCTTTCTCAGAAGCCCACGTCTGACATATGTCGGGGCGTCCTTGCAACGGGAACTACTTCGCAGGAGTCGGCGAGATGCTGGCAGACTTCCACGCCCGCTACGCTGACCCGGTCACTGGCGAGGCTCCCCATTGGGAGTTGTTCGTCTTTGTGTAATACAGAAACCCAAGATGTAAGTTTGTGTTTGTACGAAAAAGTGCATGTAAGTCAATGAGCATGATTAAGTAGATCAATATATAATGCACGCCAGGTACAGAACAGCAGAACAGTAGCACCATCATTTTTGATGCTGCTAAGTCATGGTCAGAGGTAAAGGCTAACTGAAAGTTCATGGCTAACAACGTTACGGATTAACATAAGTTCAAACGCATAGTTGAGTTTACATATATATATATATACACACACGCACACACAGATTAACAGAGAAAAAACCATTACCAACCACCCAACCACCCAAGACCCAATGATTTGCCCAAGTGGGAATGCAGCCGAATCCCAAGTCCTGTTGGCCAGAGTGATTGGGGTAATGGATGAATCGGTTGGGGCCTCCTACGTCCATTTGGCCAGAATGATTGGGCCGATTGGATGAATGGGTTAATGGGTTGGGGCTACCGGGGTGTTCCGAAACAGAGAAGGAGTTTCGAAAGAGACCAGGACATATGCAATGCAGCTGTACGCCCTGGGTATTACACGAGAGACACGTGAGCATGCAAAATTGCAAGGGGGGTAGCTTCCTAGATCTACCTAGCCATCGATGGATAGATAGATAGACAGATATGAATATGTATCTAAGTATACAAAGGTACAGACGATATACAAAAAAGTGTACATGCATCACAAAAAAGGGACCATGCATGGACGTGTGATTGCGCATACATACATGCAGGTAGATTGATAGGTAGGTGGAGGGACAGACTGATCCTTTGTTCGACAAGTATATAGCTAGATCGAGGACTTCCGCCTCAGAGTTCTTTTCCGGAGATGGCGATGTGAATCGTTTTCTGTGTGATCTGGGTCTGCAGCAGAAGTTGAGCACAACCTGTACTTCGAGACTGAGATCCTACAGATCGTAAGACACCAGGCCACGTACCACACGGACTTCCACCCCAGCAACGTCCTCTACGAGAAGCCGCGGCCTCAGCACTCGAAGCCCATACTCCAGATCCAAGGCTAAAGACTGTGGGCATGTACATTCGGTTCGGGGGCGTGTTTTTTTTTGCGTTACGCGGTGGGTTCCACCCTTTTCTCTTCCAGTATGCGATCCTGTCTCTTCCTTACGCGAGGCTGGCGTTTTTCTCATGCGAATCTGGTTTTTACCCATGCTCGTCCCCCCCCCCCGCTCCCCAAAACACACCATCGCCTTTTGCGGTGATCAGATCTGGAAATCAACTTGGGATCATTAGAGATGTGATGAACCTGCGACTGGTTATTTCGGAAATATCAGGAAAAATGTGCTAGCAGCAGGTGGCAGGGCAAAGGCCAGCGTTGACGTCTCTTTAAGGCGAGTAATTTTTTTGGCCGTCCACCACCCTCTCGGTGCTTTTCCAGGTACCCCCCCAACAGAACAGGAAAGGCTGCATGGTGATGTAAAGGCATTACTCTTGTTTGGGGTGTTTTTCGGGCTACGACGCTTCAGATTTCGGTTCCGCAGCAGCACATATGGACGACGACAATATGGAGACAAGAAGCTCTGGCGCGTGGGTGGGGAAGGCCGAAAAACTCAGCGGAAAAAAACACCTACTTACTTTCTGCTATTGCCGGCCTAGGCATTTTTTCGCAGAGCACAGTTTCCGAGCGAAATATTGTCATAGAGGTCCTTTCAAAAACGAACCATTTTTGCCCTCCCTATGCAAGCCGTAGGTTTCTGCCCCGAGCGCAAAACCTCGAACATAGGTAAAAACCACTGCGCCCCAACACATGCACAGAGTCAGAACATGCCCAAAAAAATCGAAATCTCCGAGACCTAATTTTGGACTTCTTGCTTGCAGGGTATATCACGGGTGCTTTCGTTCGAGCTGCCTCCTTGTTCATGGACCCTTGGAGAGCCTCCAACTGCGGCCTTTTGAAGGCGAATTGGTGGTAAACGTTCTTTCAAGCAAGTGTTCACTTTTGCCAGGCCTCCGCAAAATTTGGGCTTTCGCACTAATCGCAGAACACCGAAACCCGTGGAAGCCATGCGCACCCCGGAATCGCGCGAAATCGCCGCGAACCCTTCGAAAACCTGATATTAAAGTTTTGTCTGGCGTTTTTCGAGGGGAATTGCAGCTTTTTCATTTGAGCTACCTGCTTCTTCAGGGTCCCTTGGAGAGCCTCCAAGGCAAAGTTCGAAGACGACAGAGGGCCATAAAGCCATAAGCCTCCTTTCCGAAATTGAATCACTTGCCGTGCCTCCGCAAAACCTGGGTCTTCGCAGGGGGGTGGCGCGAGCATGAGGAAAAGCCTGGTGAGCATAAGGAGAAGCCGGGTGTGCACAAGGAAGAACCCAGGAGCACCCTAAACCCTAAACCCCTAAACCCTAAACCCCTAAACCCTAAGCCCCTAAACCGTAAAAAAAACCCATTCGATCACACCTTAAGCCAGGCCCCGGGCATGCCGGCGCAGAGGGGGGGGGGCACGAAAATAGGGAGCATAAGGAAAGAACCCACAGCATTAAACCTAGATACCCAGCCTGTTCGATATTTGTCTACTCAGCTCTTGCGACATAATCAATACCAGTATCCATATAGTCTATTGTGCGAAGACTCGACATGCATTTGTTTATGGATGAATAAAAATACATGACCAACGGACGTGTGCGTCCATGTACTTCTGACAGACAGTCAAATTACTTTCTGTCTGGCTGACCATCTCTGGCAGTATTATGTCGTATCATGCTTGTATGGTGGATTATGAGCAGCAGCAAGACTTGAGGAGGCTTCCCAGGCTACAGGTCAATTTGGTCTGCCTGAGGAAGACTGGTACCCTCAGTACTGCCCTCAGCATGCGACGTTGGGGTTGCGTGAGCTGCGTGAGCATTAGTTGCAATCTGGAAAGACTGGAATGCCTGCAGTGTGGTTGAAGGCCGAGAGAGTCCAGCTGAGGTATCGTAGACTTGACGGGTATGGGGAACCCCGGCGCCGGCGATGATGTCCAGAAGTTCGAGAGGCTTGCCGACCTTCCAGCCTCTCCCAATCCCTGCAACTCTGTAGAGCCCCATCCCAACTCTTAAACACTGCCGAAGCCTAGGTCCTTAGACCGCCAAGCCAGTTCTTTCAGGCTCATTTTCGGAATGGCCGGCGAGCGCTATGCCTTGGCATTCCGACACCGGTCCCGCCGCAGGGTTCGAAGGCTGTAGATTCTGTAGATTGTGATCGCAAGTGACCGGAGGGTCGCTAGCGGAGTCTTTGTGCAAAGGGTTGAGTAAGAGTTGTGGTAAATGCTGCTGCGTTCTGAGAACTGCAAAAGCTGTCGTGTTGGAGCAAGATGCAGCAACCGCCGATCCCTTACAAGCCTGAGATGTGGGTCGTGACGCAAAGGACCGGTCAGAATATGTCATGAGTTTGGTATGCCCATTTGTGCAGAATGCGAAGTTTGCCCCTTTCAATAGTACTTCATACAGGACTGCTGAACCTCCCAACCGCACTTCCTCCAGGTATCTTGCTATGGCCAAGACCAGCGTCTGCAAGACCGATAGAAGTAGCAGCAAGTCGACTTGCGCACGATTCTCAGCCGTGCGCACACGGGTTCAAGTGCTGTTAAGTTTTGCAGCCGTCTGAGGAGGCAGTCACACTGTGTCACGCAGCCGGAGATGTTCAAACGCTTTGCATGCATTTGGTTGAATCTTGGAGCAGCGGAAGATCTGTACAGGAGATTATGGAGCAGACTAATTTTCAGAATGCTCATGTCTCGCAAAATTTCTTCGTCTCAGTTGAGGCGAGCAGCACGGACGCGTTGTGGGCTGTGCCTGGACCTTGAAATGTCAATGTGGCCCAGTCCTGCATTATCTGATGCCAGCAGCGAGGTCTTGGGTCGTGCTTGTGCGGGCCGGGGGGAAGGGGGCCAACCCCTTTGCTCCGTTGGCCATCTTGTATCCTGCCAGCATGCATGCATTGCACACATTGCTCTACATTTCATTTTATGTTATTTTTTGTTGTTTTTTTGAGGTTTCGTGTCGCTGCATACATATCACATCAACGTTGCGATTCTACTCGCCTGCACATGCAGCACCGGAGGCCGTCCTTTCATTTGCCCGCCCCACCAACGCGGACGGGAAGCTTCAAGACGCTTTCCTCGCTGGCTCGGAGCTCTGTATGTCAGGGCTTTCTGTGCAAGGGATAAAAGGGATCGGGACAACAAAAGCTTTGGTTCTCTGAAACTTCCGAAGCTGTTCCCTTGTGTCAACTATGTACCGTTCCATGGGTGGTGATCTACTGGTCCAACATCTTCGCGGAGTCACGACTTAATTCGGCATGCTAGATGCCGCAACGCGATCTGCCTGCAACATACGGTCATCCGTGAGTCTCATGAGATTGCTGGCCGTTCCGCCCCTCAAGCTGTGCGAACTCCGAAATACCTGAGCCCTCCTGTGACTGAGGCGGTTCCCGAGCCATGGCCTCAGAGCTGGCACGAGAGAAGTCGGCAACGCTCTTTGCTTCAACTTCTATCAGAGTAGTTCCCATTGCATGGGTTCAGTTTGGTGTGAGAACTCCCCGGCGCAATCATTACTCTCCGGCTAATGTTGCGTGGGCTTCGACGCAGGTCCGGCTTCAACCCGGACAAGCATCTCACAACCCTCGCAGCAGGCTCAGGGCGCCTTCTGAAGCAAGCTATGACCCTACCTCTCGGACAGCAAGGGAGGCCCAAACAAAAGTCCCCAGAGCCTCCGACCCCTGAAGGCAGTCATGGAAGCCACAGCCATGATGAAATCAGTTCTCAGACAAGACTGAATGGTAAAGAACCCAGACGTTGCAATGCAAACCAAAGAAAGCTTAGTCGATAATGAATGAAGCTCCAACTAGCCATTCGTAACTCAAAGTCCAGGTCAAGTGAGGAATAAACATGACCTGTAGCAGTAACGACAGTATCTTTCACGAGCTTGGATAATCAAGAGAATGTCGTCCGTCATCCTCGAACTGTGTACTTCGTTGCGAAGTGGCTTGATGGCTTACCTGCTCGTTAGATTGCCAATGATAAAGCATTGGGAAAGGCAGCGCAGACGTAACACCAGTTTATCAGTTCTGTTTGTACTATCATGAGGAGCACTTATCGTGATGATAACAGCAAAATGTTGGAGGGCTAACTATGCACAATGACAACCTAGTAAGAACATCATCACTAACAAGTTTCATCCCACACGACAGCAGTGCCAGTGGCGGCTAGCCCTAGTTATGCAACTAGAAACAATCGTGATAGTGCACGTTACATTTGAGAGTCGCAGACCAACAGCGATGCTGATTGTGGTGGCGGTGGTAGCGGTCGTCGTCCTCGTTGCACTGCCGCCACCGTCGTCGTCGATGTATCTTGTGCATTGCACAGCTTCCAGTTGCCGAGGCCTTCATGCTGTCCCCTGGGCGCGTGTGCGAGCCGCAGCTGACGCCTCTCTCCTCGAAAGCCAAGGCACGGAGGGAGGAGGAAGTTGTGAGTTTCAGGGTTTCGAGGTTAGTTTCGGTGCTGAGTTTCGGGGTGGAGTTTCGGCACGTCCGGGACAGTTTGGCATGAGAACATGGTGAGTTTCGGTCTCACGCCATGGTCAGTTTTAGGCCCAGGCCTGCAAGAATTGGACGGAAACTGCCCAAGCCCACCTCGCCCCGCAAACTGGCAAACCCGCGTCCCGAAACAGATTCCCGCTGCGCCGAAACTATCCTCCTGTGATCCGAAACCCCCGGCAGCCGATCCGAAACTAGAACCCCGAAACTATGGGCACCCCACAGAGGGAGCTCGGGCATGCGAAGCCAAAGCTCCGCATTCTCAAGCTTCGAAGCATCATGCTTTGTTGGTGGGATAGCCCCCTTCTTGCATCCTGAACTCAGGCTTGGGTTCTGCGCCAGGGCAGCGCGAATGAGTGCTGGGTCGTTCAGCAGGCGGCACGGGAGAAAGTGCTTGCCACAGCATCGAAGGGCGACAGTGTCTAGCTGTCGTCCGACCCAGAGAGACTCCGGAGACATCGAACTGAAGACACTCTCGGAGGCGAGCCCACTCTTCGCAGAGCGTTGTGAAGAGTTCGTCCGGCTGCGTGGCCCTCGAGGGAGTGAGAGAAAGAAGGGGCACAGCAGGTATTTTTTCTCTTCAGCCGAAATCTCAGAAAATAGGTGTAGCCGATGCAAGCTCAAAGGCTGACATGCTGAAGATGCACATTCTGGAAGCCCAGGTGTCCTTCTATCTTGGAAGATGCCCAGCTGGCCTTCCCACACTCTGCCATCCCATTGCAGGCGGGCCAGGAGAGGAGTATGCCGGCATGTTTCACCCATGAAGCAAGGAGTGTGGGAAGGTGTGGGCTAGGATTCTCGTCGAGGAGTGGCCTAGCGGTGGCTAGAGAGTTGACAAATGAGGCGCACCAGAAGCAGGTGGGGAGCCTGTCCCGCACCCAGATGTCGAGGCTTCTGTGTATGGCTACTCTGCCAGGGCCCGCCAGCGGTTCCGAACTGCTGGCACAAGCCTCTTGAAATCAAGGCTAGTGGCGGAGTGTTCATGCCGTACCACTCTGGAGCAGTGCGCTTGGGATAACATCGGATCCAGTCTTGTGTTGTGCAGACTTCTGATCACCAGGTACGCTGCCACTTTGGATCAGACCACCAGCGAGGACCAGGAGAGCATCTGGAAGTCAAGACTTGGGCCTGCGTTTCCCAGAAGAGCGGCAAGAGCGAGGGATGGGGACACAGGGGTCACGTGCAGGAAAGCACAGGCATCTTTTCAACATTTTTCAACCACTGGAAGGCGAAGCTTCAAAAGGTTCTCACCAAGGCGCAGAGACCCTGCAAAGAAGCTTAAGCTTTCCTCGAGTGAGCAGCTGCATGATGCCATCTTCTCCATTTGTATAGGTTCAGCTGCAGGGAATGGAGTAACGATGCGCTGGTGGAAGCAGAACTGCATTTCGAGACAGTCTGATCAATCAATGCAGCTTTTTGGCTGGAGACTTTCGATATCTTGCGGAGCTCGTTGGCGAAGGCGGCTGGGCTTGACAGAGTCATTGGATAGACTCTGCGATTGTTTTGCAGTTCATCACACACAGGCGAGACTGGGGGAGAGATCGCCCAAGCCATCAAGCCTTCTGAATTCTCACATCCACAAATCAAATGGATCACCTGCCGTGTGCCTCAGCCGTACCTCACTTCCAGGTGTAGCTCAATCAGACGATGGCGCTCAAATTTGAGGCCTGGAACATGCGATTTCATATGGAGCCGTAAACTCTCCCCAGCAGCCGCCCTCGATCCCCTCGGAGGCGACCTTCATCAGCATGAAGACAACCGAGCCGGCAAAGAAGCGCTCCCAGAGTTTACCAGCGCTTCCAGGCCGTCGTTCCATCCAAGCGGCCGTGGGAAGCTAAACACCCAGTGAGAGCTGGGTACTGCGCCAGGACGTTCCGGAGCCTCTTCCACCACAGACAAGGAGACCTTCCGGAGATGTGCCTACCGTTTTGAGCTACCGTAACATCTCGACATTGTGGTTCTGAACTTGTACGCCGTTCCCGACAGGACAGTGTGGGGCAGGTTCAACGCTACCTGGACCAGTTGATGGACCGGGCGGAGAACCTGCGCCCTGAGGATCAAGATGGGCAGGATGAGGCGCGGGCGTCGAGTGCTGTGACCGGACACATCTTTACGCATGCAATGGGTCGAAGGGCTGGACCTGTTGACAGCAGTTCGCTACGAACATGATTGACATCGTGCGCGAGTGCAGGTATTCTAGACGGATGTTTAGTTGGCTTGGATCCATTCATCTGCGGGCAGCCTCGGCCGTGAACTGTCCAACCCTCCTGCCCGATTGCCCGACACAAACACAAACAGCTTTGCGTGCCGAAGGAGCAAATGGCTCCCGAGCGCAACGCGGAAGAGGCATGGGAGCAAGATGAGGGATGTGTATCAGAAGGAAGAAAGGGAACCAAGAAAGGATACTACTACTGCTGCTGTTGCTGCTG